AATCAAATTTTTCAAGCGGAAATTTCCGGAGGTCATGTGATATTCCGTAAATCGACGCCTAATTAAATTTCCTGATGATAAACAAACTTTCACATTATTTGGTACAATCTATAATACTGAAAGTATTCTCTATAATTCTACTTGTGTTGATGATAATGGTTTTTTTATTTTTTCTTTTCAAGTAAATCATCTTAAATTTATATTGTTGGTCATGCAGACCACTCCAAAATCTATTATTTGTTAACTTATAGAGATATTAATATTACTATTAGATTATTTATTACCTTTTAACAATCTATTTATATATGCAATTATTTTCTTGTATCCTTGTAATTTGTTTGTAATGTTTTTTAAATATTCTAATGTTTGAAGATTTGTAGTTATATTAGTTTCTAAAAAAGTAATATCATTAATATTTCTTTTAATATTTTTGTAATTTATATTTATAGGTATATTATTATAATATATATTAAGTGACTTAGGTGAAATAATCATTTTCATTCTCTTTCAATTGTCATTAGTATTTTTAATTGAAAATTTAAAATTTTTGATTGGAAGATAACTAGTTCTGTTAGATTTGTTATGATTGAACAATATGCAATATTTTTATTTATATTATTTATAACTACTATCAATTTTTTCAATGAGCATCTATTATATATCACCAATTACTAATTAAAATTTATAAATATCACACCTATCAGATACCTAATAGGTGTAAGAATAATGTATATATTCATATACTTATAAGATACCTGATAAGTATAAAAAAATATTTTTTACACTTATTAGGTACTTGATAAGTGTATGAATATATATATTTATTAGGTATCCAATAGGTATAGTATTTATAAATTTTTGATTAGTGAATGAAGACTGAAATATTATTTTTAATATTTCTTAAATATAATATTATATGATAATTTCTGATCATATTTTTTATATTCTTAGATAATTTTTTCAATAACTGAACTTGAGAAATAATTTGTTGTTACTAATTTCCCTTTAATTTATCTTTCTTTTTTATTAGTGATAATTTATTAATTAAATTATTATTTATTTTCTCTTATATAATTTAATTTCTTTTTTATTTTTTTTACTTAACTTGTTACATCAAGTTATGTTTTTTCTTGAGATTTTATATTAATGAATTCTTTTTAATTTAAAAATTTTACTTAAATTGATATTTAGTAATTGTTTTACATAAAGAATTTCATATTTTTTTTAAACTGCCTTTGTATTTGTAATATCAAGTCTCCAATTCCGTAAATAATTTTATGTCTATAATTTTTTTTTCCTGTATTTTAATTAAAAATTCTAATTTATTGTTCATATACATTTCTATATTATTTTTTGCTAATAGTTTTAATATTTTCTCTGTTAAATTATGATTACAAGCTTTGAACTTGTTTATTGTTTCTGTTTTTCATATACTTTTTATTATCTACATATAGTCTTGTAACTTTTAAATTCTAACTTTCATTATTGTTATTGAAGAAAATTAATAAAGTAATTAATAACAAAAAATATTACTAATATATAATAAAAAGAAATTTAAATTAATAATTAAAAAAATTATAGGTAATAGAAAATAAAAAATATAATTTATGTATAATATCAAAGATCAACAATCACATGATAAGTAGTGAAACTTAATAATTAAATATATAGTTAAATCTGTATATAAGTATGTTACTTATATAAAGATATTTATTAATAAATTTTAAATCTTATATTAAGATAATAATAACACATAAGTTAAATAAATAAATATTTAAATAGAAAAAAATTTTATATCAAGTATTTTTTAAAATATCTTTATATTAGTAAATGCTTATGTGACTTAGTCAGAATTCACTTTCTTCATTCTTTGAACCTATCTATCCTTTAAACCCTTACAAAGTTTTAGTGAAATTATTTCATTTTGTTTCTTATTGTTTTTAGACTAGAATTTGTCATATTTTCTTTTCTCTATATTTATTATCCTTTCTTTAATTATTTCTTCTTTGTTTTATCTAGTTTATTTACCTTTATTACTTTATAATATAGAAAATTAGTTATTTTATTATTATTTGTCTTTCCATATTTCCAAAACTTACTAATAATTACTGGGCTAAACCTAAGTACTTGTTCTCTCACTCTTCCAACAGGTAATATCAATTTGGTACTAGTTGTATGGAGAATATAAATAAATCTTATCTATTTTTAAATAGAATTATTCAAGATAGATTCTGAAACTCTTTTTACCGATACCTTTGAATCCCCATTGTTTCAATCTCCTTTTTCATTTGAAAGTTTCTCCAATTCAGAAGTTCCAGAATATTACAATATCAAGCCTGAAATAGAAGAATAAGATTCAGAAGAAGAACAAGAAATAATTATCTATATATCATCTGAAGTAATGAATAAACAGCTCCAAGGATTAGACCAATTTGTTATCAATTGGTTGTCCTAGTGCTCTAGCTATAAAATATCCAACTTCCGGTAGTTAATATCACTACTTCAAACTGGAAAATGAATTTAATACCTTATTCAGATTTCTTTAGTAGAGATCAAGATTCAATTACCTGAATGAAGAAATAGAAAAGGCCTTTGATACTAACATAGTTTCTCAAGACCGGAAGATTGCTATTATTACTTCCTGACTTAGAGATTCTGCTACTACTTGGTGGACCATAAGAAAGAATCAGAATCTAGTAATAAATAGATGGAACAATGCTAACTATCAAGACTGAAACTTCTGATCTCTCTTTATCTGACAATTTAGGACTGCTGCCCTAAAAGTCAAATGGTTCACTTAGCTGACCCAAAGAAAACAGCATCCTGAAGAAGATGTAGATTTCTACTACAATGAGATCGAAGATTACTCAGGAAAGTTGAAGTAGAAGGACCGGTTTATTCTAATTTCACAAAAGCTCAAATTTTTGTTAATGGCCTTCATCTGAAATATTATATTCATGTGTCTGCTTTGACTCCAGCCAATCTTCCTGATGCATACAGTAGAGTGAAAGTATATGAGAGTATTCTCAAGTAGAATTTTACTTATGCATCTCTTTTAGGTTTTCATGTCCCAACTCCATCCTATAATTTAAATGGTCCGGCTGCTTCTTATATTTCAAGTCTACCTTATGATAATTCTTCTTTTTCTGTAAATCTTCTGACCCCAACTAATCTAACTGAAGCTGCAATCTATAAATTGACCAAAGTTGTGAATACTATAATGTCTCAAGTAAACAACCTACAAAAAAAAGAAAACTTCAGACTAGTTGAAAATTTTAGTAACAATAATTATAGTAGCAACAATGATAATAAGTTTCAATTATCTTATTACAATTGTGACAATTCTGGATATATAAATAGAAACTGTTCTGAATTCTGGAAAAATTTTAACAGAAATAATAAAAATAATTTTAACAATAATCAAGAAAACAATAATCTATTACTTATCTTACCTAACAATATTCCTTTGAAAAATTTGACTCCAGTAAATAGCAATCCAATTCTGAATAATATACCTTCCAGTAATTCTTCTGACTTCAATCAGACTCTCCAAGTTCTTTTGACAAATATTATATCAGGAAATTTAATTAGACATCAATTTACGGAAATATCACATGACCTCTGGAAATTTCCGCCTGAAAAATTTGATTTTTTAACTTTGGCCGAGATTTAAGTGACAGAGAGTGATTTTTTACTAAGATGTTTTTAAGATAGATCGAAAGTCCTGGTTTTTGGCTACAAGATAATACATGCTTCATTACTATAGTATCGATATTTGCGAAGAAATTCATGTTTAAATTCAAAACATCCATGAAAATTTATGCCGTAATTTTTCCGTAAATTCTCGTAATTCTGGTGGAAATTTTTGTGACATATAAAAATTTCCACCAGAATTACGAAAATT